AGGGCGTCATCACCAAATCGACGTTTTGATCCACGTCGTCGACTGAGATGTAACTCGGTGGTTCCGCCCACACAAAGCTCGCAAACCGGGCGATTCGCAAAATATCAGCAGCAAAAGCGCCGAAGTGTTGGTGGGAGAGCGGAAAATGGCACCCTATCCACATCTCTGAGTATCACGTCATCTGGATTGCGAAGCGACAGCTGGAGCCATTCAGCATTCTCTCATCACAGTCATCCGATATTGACAGATGTACAGGAGGGCGGTACAAAGAGAAATGAGATCAACGCAATGCCACCGGCTCTGGCTCATCCGATCAAGCGTGAGCACAATCAAGCTGGAATTAATACGGACTCTTGGGCAAGCAGCGGACAACCCCTTTTGTCCAGCGATCCGGATAGCTCACTCAGTCAACTGATGCTAGTTAACACTGGTTACACCAGCAGTGACAGTCGATGCAGCATGCTACAGCCTCAGAATGTGTCCACAGTACTGTCTTCTAGTGGTGCGCAACCCGTGATAGGTGCTCCATTACCCACGTACACACTATCGGTTGGAGACGCGCAGGGAACTAGTGAGCATGGGCCACGTGAAAGCGTTACAAGCTCAACTCTCAGTGCAATGCCAGCAACTTTTGGCCTTGAGGAGGCTGCGGGCTACGTGTGGCCACAGTGGCCTACAGCCTTCTCTGGCATGCATCAAGTGAGCAGCAACGCCGATGCGAGTAGTACCAACCCAACTGATCCATCAGATACGGATGGTCTTCTTTCTCTCAATCGGCAGTTGTGGCTCCGTAGGAGCGAAAGACAAAGACTGTTCTATCTTCGACAATTGCAACTTTACCGATCCATGATAGGCATTCCATTACCTGAACAGTCGATAGAGGAAGCTGTGGAAGAGGCGACGAGCAGGCGACATCAGTGGAGGAACCAAACACTTGCTGACCCACTTAACGAAAGCGATGCAGAAGACCTCTCCGATGACCGATATTGTCCTGACCCGACCTCTAACACGGCAACCCCCCATACAAGTCAAACATAAATGTTCTAATCGCACACATCAATGCATCAACTTAGGTCTTATCATGTACTTTTTTACTTATTTATCTACTTCGCTCACCTTTTGCCTTTGTGTATTACAATTTGTACATGAACAGACATCTTCATCTATTTCTTGCTTGCGTAGTCGCAGCTACTGAAACCGATAATATTTCTCCAATCGTTGAACTCCTGGTTCCCCCGGCACACCTCACAGACCAAGTAGAACAGGTGAGGCGTTGGCTTATAAAGATTACGTGGTTCAAACACACAGTATACCCTCATTCAACTACTCTGCTATCACGTCTTAGTAGAGATCGAGTCAACCTGGATAAATAGACAAATGATTACCTTTCCAATCAATGAAACTAGTGTAAAATGCTACATGACTCCACCGGAAAAGCTAACATGTCGATTAAGGACCCTGGATGCGTTCTGATGAGTCTCAAGAAAATTGGGCAGGAACTTGTTTTGAGCGTCGTAACTGCGCTCTTCTGTCCCGTGTTTTCCGATGCAAGTTTCTGAGAAAAACTGAATATGATCTGAACGTGCGCTATCAAAGTAGGTAACTTGCGCTGTTGACATCAGAACTATGACTGCGACAAACGGATCTGAATGGATGATCAGACGCAATATGGTCATGTTTCATGTTAGAATGACCTGTAGAGAAATCGCGATAATCAGGCGACAGCCAACTCAGCTTCCTTGCGCCATGGTTGGCGGTAGCCGGTTCCGGATTTGCATGTCACTGCGGCCTCCATGGAGACAGTCAAAGGATGCTTGCGCCTGCAGAGTGACCATGGGTGGCTTGCGCTGCACCATCCACACACCTATATCCAGTGTGAACCCGGAGGAATAAGACCGGGAGGCATGTGGATGGGAGCCACGTTTCACCAATGGAGCCGACCTACACTCCTTCAACATGCACAGCAGCTGCATTCCTGTTTATTTCAATTGGAAATCATGCGTACTATATGTAAACAAGGCGGTGGCTGGACCGTAGTTTGCTCCACACTGGGTGCATAGAACCATTTGCTGAGCCTTGCACGGCCACGCAGACCGTGCAACCCGTCCCCCAGCAACAAATCACAGGCTCCTGGAGCCAGTAATCGAGGTGGAGGGTTTTAGACAGGTAGGCACCATGTCAACATTCACATCAAGCGTAGCCACACCGGGGATATCAAACAACCAACATAGAGCTTAAGAGATAGCAAACACGCAAAACTGAAACCGAATATGCAATAAAGTAACAGAATTGAACAAACCAAATAGTGGAATGACTTTCATCCAGATTAAAAAGACTTATATTAAGTGTGTTCGTTTAGCCCAACTACTGTAAAGAATCATCTTGAATGCAGCATCAACCTCAACATGAGGCATTATGGAGTGTAGATAACCCCCGTTTTCGCTTGTAGTCGACCGACTCCGCCGTGTGAATTGGGCGGTCCGTCGGCCACTGTGGTATCGCCACATCACGCTCTGCACCGGTGCATAGAATTGTCCTCCTAATTGATTCATCATAACAACGCATGCGTACTTAGCAGTCATAGCCGAATGCATGTGCATGCCTCAGATTGGCTAACTCACTTGCACCTGCTTGGTTTTAAGCGTTGTAACTGTTCTTATGTGTATTCACAGTGTGCACAGATTCGTTTCGTTTGCTGCGGTACTGTTCTACTTTCAACGACAGAAAAATTGGCGGGCCACCAATGTCCCTACGCAACACAGCCCCCAACTCAATTCTGGATCGATCTTGCGATTAACTCAACCTCAAAATGAAGGGATGCTTGGAAAATCACTTTTTCGGATTATAGTTTGGTTTGTACCGGTCCTCAATACATCAGCAGTTTTATGTCAGTCGTCATGCCTTGGTTTTAGGGAACTTTTGTACCATATCTGGAGTTTTGCGGACAGCAACCTACTCCGTTTGATTATTGGTAAACCAATAACCGAACAAGTTGCGGATCTCCGAATTCCCACCAACCGATGTTGCACGATGGGTCGTTTTGCCTTTGGGAAACCCACTCCGATAGCGCTCCAATACCGATTTCTTTTCTAACAGAAATTGTGCTTGCGTGTGGACCGGCACTATTTCCGACTCACCATTGTCTAACCCTACTTGGTCCGTCCACGGAAATGGTAGGCCTGAATCTTACCACCGTGTGACCGGGCCCCCCTGGGCCGGATGTCCCCGTTGGTCCGACGTTCTTTCGCACGATCGGCAAATGAGGGGGACATAGCACCGCCTTGAAGGGGCGTGTCCGCCGCAGTGCGACGTCGCGTTGAATGCCGTATTAAGATGGAAACTTTGTGTGCATGCGATTGAATGAGACTTGAATCCCACGTTGCTTTGGAGCTGGGTGACTTGGCGTCCGCTGTAGGCATGCGCCCGACAGTCCCAACTAGGATGGTGACAGACATCCAATTGTTTCGGCTACGTCTCCAGTGATTTTAATGGAGAACATTAGTTCGTAATGATCCATCGTCAGAGTTTTGCTATCATATAAGGAGGCTAGTGCTTGGGGCACAAAATGACCGCATTAGTTCAGATGATTCAGATCACGTGTTGGCCGGTTTTGTGGACATACATCTCAAGACGGTGCTTACGATACCACCACTGATAAGCTGATGCAATTAGCCTCAGCATTTCCTGTTTTCCCTGGCCAAAGCATCTGTGGCGATTCATCAGTTTACGCATCGCATACAGAGGCCGTTGGAAAAATCGACCACAGATTGCCTCAGGCAACACAAGTGCACTGGTTCCCAAACTATCGGACTGGAGCTGAGGGCTATTGTCCATTATCCAAAATACGCGGATTAGTGCTACTTACTACCCGATCTTACCGTTATGGTTACAAATAGAAATGGCACTATGTTTGCGACACCTTAACGCAACCAGCGGGGAGGTGTTAAATTTCAAGCTTGAACGGATGCCTCGGCGTTCGGCAGATGCTCATCATGCCACATGACAGAGATCCTACAGTTATGTTCGGGCGCCCAGCGGAATGCCAGAGATTGGATACAATCGTTCAAGTAGCGTTAGAAAGAATTGTGTGATATTCGTATTTTCTGTTGCTGAATTGCTGCAAATACGATTTTACACCCGTCTTAAAACACGCGGTTGTCACAGGAAACACCCGGCGGCTGGATTGCGTCATAAGCTATTTGACAGGCGTGTTTACTTTGCAAGTATTATACTTTCTGTAAACTGGTCATTCAATTAAAGCATTTCTCTGCAAACGAGTGCTGAAAAACCCAGGTTATTACCAGAAATGATTCTCTTCGATTGTTTCTGGTAGGAGAAAACGAGTGAAAATGCAAATTCACTTCGAAAGAAACAGGCTTTGTTACCCACGAGTAGGGTATAGACTAGTCCATTCTGCATGACTGTTCCTTTGACAATGATTCAGCAGAGGAGTGGATTCCACAGCTGGACATTTGAGTTCTCTTTAAGTAAAGGTGTTCACCACGTGCTGGAAGTTGGCGCTGCTTCTCGGTCACCATCTGGAAAAGTAAAAATGTAAGCGACACTAACGCTTTCAGAAAATAAGTGTAACTGATGAGTGCCGTTGCGCGAGAAAATACACTTTTCATCTCAACTATAGGGAGTTCCGATTGAATGATTGGGGTAAATTAATGGTTATTTTCAACATTGCTTGTCGTTCCACGGGAACGGATTACATGACCAGGGAACCCAGCAACTGCTCTTGGGGAGAAAACTTTTGTGTAAACGTGGAAGCATTGAGCTCAATTGGGAACGCTTGCAGTGGGATTTAGTAGACGGTTTCTACGGTATTGGTGTTCGTACACGAACAGACAGAAATAAGTCAATTTGCACCGAAAAACAGGCCGTTGGTGACCCCGCATATCTTTTGAGTAACCCAGTATATAAGTTCTGGAGTTTGGACTGGTTATTTCCTTTGATACTAAAGCGATGCCTATCTATGTGTGTTGCGATAAAATGCGAAAACGCGTTGCTTGTTGCCAAGCTTAGGAAGCTGCCTACCAAGAGTTTGATAGCCTCACTATCAGGCTTAGTTACCAGCTTCCCCGAAGTCTCAACAAAGTGAGCTTGGGGCTGCATGGAAACATATATACTATTACAGTATCCTGTTGCAACTGCACAACAAAGTTCAGGGACAACACAATTTGGTGTGTGTGTGTGTGCGTGTTAATGAACCGGAGACACTTTTCCAACATTTGGTGACTTTGGATTTTATTAGTCTTCGGCTCTTAAATAGTCTATTTGTTTTGATGAATACAGTTCCCGAGCACTTGCGTTTTGTCCGTAAATTGCACATTAAGCGGCTTCTCTGCTGCCCATTACTTGATTCTGTCTGCTCTACCTCCCACACAATACACGCTAAGTTTGTCGGTTTTTACACCCAGGTGTTACCTTGTGTTCGCTCCATACTTGTCACTGCGCGCGGTTGGTTTTCAAATCACACATCACAACTATACGGTGCCTCACCTGCTCGTTTAGCGTACATTAACGATTGTATCGCCGGACGCAAAATTGTAGGTACTCCTTCGAACTTGGTCCACTGTAGTTAAGCCTGCAAAACGCCTAGGGAAACAACTGGTCAACTATTGAAGGACAATGAATTACATATTCCATTCCTTCTTCAGTGTCGAATGCGTCTGGACCAGCCAATCCCTCTGTTGAGTGTCTCATGCACAGTAACTGTTAGGGAGATGCCCACTGAACAAAATGTTTGGTACATTTCTTTGCTACCGGTTTTTCTTTCGTCATCATTTGTTTATTGACATATGTTTAAACGCATCATTTCGTTAATTTCATTGGGTGTCATCTCGGGGTCCCGGCTCTGCTAATACCGTTTGCTCTGACACTGGTGATTAGTCCTTGCTTCTACCACTTCACATTCGTCTGTGCTAATCAGGGTCTTCTATGTTGTTGATTGGCTCCAAAGTGTTTTAGTTCCTGTTCTTCTACCACTACTGTACCCTATTTAAGTGAATCAGATTTCTCATGTACGTAATTCTGTCTTGGCTCGTCTTCCATGTCCTCGTTGCGGTAGCGAGGTGCGAACAATGGGCGTCGACACAACAGTAAATTCATCATTTGGAAAATTCGAGCAGCGCATTGTAACCATACCTGTATCATGTGAGTGTGGTCCCCCACCTAAGGTGAGAACTTTCTCCCAGTAAACAACGATAGAACCTGTTAACAAAAATAAATTTGCATCGTGACTGCCTTGGAGAATTCTGAGAATTGTAACCTTAGCTTTATTGCACGCAACAGAGTCAGCAGGTTTGAGAGTTAGCAAAAACAGTATGTCTATTACGTGATGTGATGCTGGATCGATCACGCTGCTTTCCGCACTTAATTATACCGGTAGTTCCGGACCCGATGCGTCCACAACTAAATTCGTCTGAAGGGTTCCATCAAGCCGTTATGTGGTGGTCATATATTTTGCAACACCGACACCTGTTGTGTTCGAACTCCTTATTTTGTACCAGTTCGCCTCTGTATTCAATAAGTTTGCTGGTCAATCCTGTTTTGGTTCGATTAGTCCACTCTAGAGTCTCACCAATGAAACCCATCGCGAGAGGGAGAAGTAGTATTGAATTAATATCTAGGACGTTTTATTCATTCTTAATAATCCGTTGTTCGACCTACGCCAGAATTTTCTCCAACGGTCTATAGCGGCGTAGAAAACGCGACAGCACTGCATTGAAACGAGTACAGAGAGACTTCACGAAGCACTCTCCAGTTGTTTTTTTTCAAAACTGGAATTACCTGCATGCTGTGCTAGGCTCAAGCTTCGCCCGCTCCAATTAAACGCTTGAAGCACAACCTAGTCATATTTTTCAACATATTGCACAAAAAACAAGTTTCCGAACTCAGTATAACAGTGGTGTCATCAGCCGTCTACAACGCACGACATAAACCGAACTCGGTGACGGAATGTTAGTCCAGGTCTGCCAACGTTTTGCTTAACAAGTACCCCAGAGTCTGGAAAAAACTACCACCCGGAATACGTGTCTGTGCACTTGAACGCGGATTTCGCGAAAGCAATAACAAATTCCTGCCTGTACATGAAGAAATCTAAATGCATGATTGCTCTGTGACAATACACCAAACGTAAAATCAAGATTCATATTTCATTTGACCCAACACCATTTCATTTCAGTCAACCACATTTATGCATTTGCCGTCCCTCCCAAACTCATCATCGGGATGGATTTGCAAAATTCCTGATTCAACTGCGATGAAGATTCTATAAAACTATGCATTTACGCGATCATGCCGAAACAGGAGCGTCTCCCATGGTGGCGAAGAAAAAATTCCCCAGATATTCACACTTGGAAAAATTGTCCTCAAGCTCAGTCCAGCAACCTGCGTTCAGCCTCAATGCATTTCACGCTAGCCTGCATAAAAGATACAAAATGTTGCAAAGAAGGAGCAAAATTTTGCAAAGAAAGTCCAAAACTTTGCAAAGAAAGTCCAAAATATAGCAAAACCCCGTGCGATTGGCCAGCCGCTCAGAGCCAATCCTCTGACCTTAAGTGTGTTCTCATTGGCCGGATGCCAACGTTCGGTGCGTTAGTCTGGGGAGGTGAGTGCGCTGCCCGTTGACTGGGTGAGACTTGTGAATGAACCTTAGAGGCGTGCAATCGGACGATGCAACGGGCTTGTATGCGCCCCCCTCACGTCCGAAATGATGGATCACAATTGGTCTGAGCGCAATGAACAGCTGGAACATAAGCGCACGACCGAAACCATGTCTATGATACTAACGTCGTCGGTATGCTTTCTCGCGTCCGCCAGAGTATCTTATCAGACATTCGTGACCGAGTTTTGGGCGCTTTCGTCAACGGTGATGACTGACAGCTGGTGGCAACTGTGAACAACGTCAAATATCAAACAGCCTACCCCCGGGATTCGTCGTTCTCTCTTGATCAGGAGCCGAGTACTACGCAGGCGCGCGGTTGTAAGCGGATTTTGTCGGAGGAAGACGTAGATGACATCCTGGATTGGATCGCAAGGGACTCAACCCTTACGCTACGGGAAATGCGAGTACGAGTACGAGCAGAAAGGGACAAAAACATTTCGAAGTCAACAATCGCACAGCACCTAGATGGTCGATTGATAACTATGAAGAACATCTATCAGGTTCCCGAGGGAATGAACAATGAGCGAACCAAAGGGAAAAGCAGGGAATTCGTTCAGCAGTTTCTCCAACTTGAGAGCGATGGCAAGTTCTTCATTTGGATTGATGAAGCGAACTTCAACATTTACTGCAAACGTACTCGTGGTCGGGCGCCCAGAGGAGTGAGGGCCTGTTGAAAGGTGCCAACAGCAGAGGCCCCAATTTGCATTTAATCGGTACCCTCACGATGGAAGGGAAAGTGTCAATGACCACCCGGAGAGGCTCATTCACAGATCCCCTATCCCTCGAATGGCTGCGAAGCTATTTAGACAACCTGAAACGGGAGATGGAGCTCCAGCAGGTTGTCGTGCTATGTGATAATACACCATGTCACACAGGACTAGAAGAACTGTCGTCAGTAGATGGATACGATGGAGAAACCATACTGAGATTGAGCCCATACTCTCCGTTCCTCAATCTGATCGAGAATGTTTGGCAGAGTGAAGAATGAGCTGAGAGTGCACTACGAGGAACTTCTGGCCGGGGATCCCCAGAAACTCATGACGCAGATAGAATGGAGGCTGCAGTTCTTTGAACGCATTGCCAGAGCAGCCACCAAGGGTAACGGCGTTGTGGGATGTCGTAATACTATTCGACATATGCGTGTACATTTTCTTAGTTGTCTAGAAAAAAATGACAAGTTTTGATCTCGTTGCTGGCCTATTTTTTACGTATCTGGTTGCATAGCACGTCACTGGCAGCACGTAGGGGCGTGTGAGTATTCACAGTGTTTTCAAAATATGTTTGCACGTACGTAAGTTTGTGTGTTCCTACGGGGGTTGAAGCGATATCTGATGTCTAGCGCAATGGAGTGACACTAGACCGACTTCCAGAGAGCCATGCCCGAGTGACATGTTCAACTTATGGTCCTTTTCATGCTGGTATTCGCTGCGCCGTATTCTTTCATGATCAGCCTGAGATAATGTAGATACAGTTTCTTTGTTCGGAAAACTAGGAGGTTTGGAAATCGCTTTGTAGGACCAAGTGAGCTTGCCGGGTGAAGCAACCGTCAGATATATCACAGTATGGGATATCAGCGTGGATAGTTGAATAGTAGTGAATAGGAAATTACTGCGCACGTCATGTCAAGCTTTTCCAAGAGTGAGAGGAACTGCTAGATGCGAATTCGCAAACACGTCCATTGCCAGACAAGATGTCGTCATTAAAGATGGACGAATGAATCGCGTGTTTAATAGAAACCGTCTCTGTGCGATGTTTGTCCGCTGTATTTGAGTGCACTGGCGCGTTAATTCGTTACCCGCTTGGAAGTTGGTCTGTCAAGTTCGGAACCCACATCAGCCGGTTCGGAAGCTGTGCTTCAGATTTAAAAGTAACCATTCCTACAGTAAGCCCAATTTAATTTGCGTGCCAGAAAGGCCCGAAAAGCTGTCCAGTACGACTTGGATACTGTCTTGATTGTTCGGATGATCCCTCGTGCGCAAACCGAAATAAGGACAAAACTGCACACATCGCTGATGGAGACCGCGTCCTGTGTGCAGTGTACACAATTGTCGGTATTGGTGTAAATGCAGCAATATTTCCACAGTGAACCCAATTATCAAGGGTGCGAGCTAGGGAATACACCACATGGTGAATGTGAACGGCATTAGTATTATTTACATATCCTGTTGCGTTGAAGATATCCTCAGAGTGCGTAGTTTATAACGTTCTGATGTTCGCATGGTTAAAGTCTGAAAACCCTAATTGTGCGAAATTTGCGGTTTCGCAAGCCACATTTCCTGAACTGAGATAGATGGTAGCAATGTCATTAAAATGTCAATTGTCTGTATCTGAGGTTGTCAGTACGTTAAACAACGTAGAAACATTTCCACGCCAACTACACCCCGCATTTGCTTACGCACGCTATTGGGTCAAACGAGGGATCATCCGAACAATCAAGACAGTATCCAAGTCGTACTGGACAGCTATTCGGGCCTTTCTGGCACGCAAATTAAATTGGGCTTACTGTAGGAATGGTTGCTTTTAGATCTAAAATACAGCTTCCGAACCGGCTGATGTGGGTTCCGAACTTGACAGACCAACTTCCAATCGGGTAACGAATTAACGCGCCAGTGCACTCAAATACAGCGGACAAACATCGCACAGAGACGGTTTCTATTAAACACGCGATTCATTCGTCCATCTTTAATGACGACATCTTGTCTGGCAATGGACGTGTTTGCGAACTCCCATCTGTCAGTTCCACTCACTCTTGGAAAAGCCTGACATGACGTGCGCAGTAATTTCTTATTCACTACTATTCAACTATCCACGCTGATATCCCATACTGTGATATATCTGACGGTTGCTTCACCCGGCAAGCTCACTTGGTCCTACAAAGCGATTTCCAAACCTCCTAGTTTTCCGAACAAAGAAACTGTATCTACATTATCTCAGGCTGATCATGAAAGAGTACGGCGCAGCGAATACCAGCATGAAAAGGACCATAAGTTGAACATGTCACTCGGGCATGGCTCGCTGGAAGTCGGTCCCGTGTCACTCCATTGCGCTAGACATCAGATATCGCTTCAACCCCCGTACGAACACACAAACTTACGTACGTGCAAACATATTTTGAAAACACTGTGAATACTCACACGTCCCTACGTGCTGCCAGTGACGTGCTATGCAATCAGATACGTAAAAAATAGGCCAGCAACGAGATCAAAACTTGTCATATTTTTCTAGACAACTAAGAAAATGTACACGCATATGTCGAATAGTATTACGACATCCCACAACGCTGTTACCCTTGGTGGCTGCTCTGGCAATGCGTTCAGGGAACTGCAGCCTCCATTCTATCTGCGTCATGAGTTTCTGGGGATCCCCGGCCAGAAGTTCCTCGTAGTGCACTCTCAGCTCATTCTTCACTCTGCCAAACATTCTCGATCAGATTGATGAACGGAGAGTATGGGCTCAATCTCAGTATGGCTTCTCCATCGTATCCATCTACTGACGACAGTTCTTCTAGTCCTGCGTGACATGGTGCATTATCACATAGCACGACAACCTGCTGGAGCTCCATCTCCCGTTTCAGGTTGTCTAAATAGCTTCGCAGCCATTCGAGGGATAGGGGACCTGTGAATGAGCCTCTCCGGGTGGTCATTGACACTTTCCCTTCCATCGTGAGGGTACCGATTAAATGCAAATTGGGGCCTCTGCCGTTGGCACCTTTCAACAGGCCCTCACTCCTCTGGGCGCCCGACCATGAGTACGTTTGCAGTAAATGTTGAAGTTCGCTTCATCAATCCAAATGAAGAACTTACCATCGCTCTCAAGTTGGAGAAACTGCTGAACGAATTCCCTGCTTTTCCCTTTGGTTCGCTCATTGTTCATTCCCTCGGGAACCTGATAGATGTTCTTCATAGTTATCAATCGACCATCTAGGTGCTGTGCGATTGTTGACTTCGAAATGTTTTTGTCCCTTTCTGCTCGTACTCGTACTCGCATTTCCCGTAGCGTAAGGGTTGAGTCCCTTGCGATCCAATCCAGGATGTCATCTACGTCTTCCTCCGACAAAATCCGCTTACAACCGCGCGCCTGCGTAGTACTCGGCTCCTGATCAAGAGAGAACGACGAATCCCGGTGGTAGGCTGTTTGATATTTGACGTTGTTCACAGTTGCCACCAGCTGCCAGTCATCACCGTTGACGAAAGCGCCCAAAACTCGGTCACGAATGTCTGATAAGATACTCTGGCGGACGCGAGAAAGCATACCGACGACGTTAGTATCATAGACATGGTTTCGGTCGTGCGCTTATGTTCCAGCTGTTCATTGCGCTCAGACCAATTGTGATCCATCATCTCGGACGTGAGGGGGGCGCATACAAGCCCGTTGCATCGTCAGAGTGCACGCCTCTAAGGTTCATTCACAAGTCTCACCCAGTCAACGGGCAGCGCACTCACCTCCCCAGACTAACGCACCGAACCTTGGCATCCGGCCAATGAGAACACACTTAAGGTCAGAGGATTGGCTCTGAGCGGCTGGCCAATCGCACGGGGTTTTGCTATATTTTGGACTTTCTTTGTAAAGTTTTGGACTTTCTTTGCAAAATTTTGCTCCTTCTTTGCAACATTTTGTATCTTTTATGCAACTTTTCGGGAAATGGTATAGTGTCCGCACTTCATGAATTAAAATGTGGTGGATATAACCCCTTTTCAGTGGGAATGAGCGGACGTTTTGGATTTCTATTAAGGCTGCCAATGGTTTTTTTATTAACGAGATAGATTTAGTTTCCACAGAGTGGAGAGTTTTGAAACTGTTCAGCATGACGGTTCAGCATTTTTTCCTCTCAATTTTTCATTTTCATCTACTATATTATTGAATTTGGAACCGTATTATCAACATGCCTTCCTCTCAAATAGTGTGAGCCTACACGGCGCCATCTATTTTGAATTTTTTATGCATGCACTCTAGTTTTGTGTACTAGCCTTCTCGGTCCCGTCGCATTGTGATCTGCATTTATGCGCACCTCCCTACAATTTGTAGCTTATTTACCGTAGATCAGCTTCGGTTTGACTGTGACAATCCTCTTCGGGAAACAATCCGTCTTATGTTAGTATATTCTACACTTTGTCTTAATGCAATCTACATCCAAAATGTTGCTCAGTTTCTAGTTCAGCAAATGGATCGAGAGATAATATGGCCTTGTGAGAAAGGTTAGTTACAATACTCTATTTATTTGCCATCCAGCTTGATGCCGTACTAGAAAGCCACCAACACAACCAATAGAACCCACCAGTAGTGTAACCCAAATCACTGCAATTCGTGACCGTTCAGGTGCGTGCGCTCTGTGAGCGATATGACATTTTGGGTGCATCTGATGACCCGGTCGTGAAAAAAGGAATCAATTTGACACATTGTAAACATACCTCTAGGTGCAAAGTTTTGCCAAAGACTATACGCTTTAGCCGTTTGACAGTTGACAGAAAACATTTGACAACACGATGTTGCTGCAGTCCAAACCAGCGGTTTGCGAGGACATTGGGATACGGAGCCAGTACAGATTCGATATCGAGAATCAACTTGATCTGCAAAGGAGATGAATTAAATGGTTTAATAATAGCTCTTGTCCACAGCATCCCTAGGAGCTGTGGTTTACAAAACAAACACCTGAGTGAACCTTGGCAATTCCGAGCCCAATACTAATACTAATATTTTTAATCACCGCTCACTGTTCACATCCCATGATAGCAATGCGAACACGGAAGATGAGCCTCGATAGAACTGTATGCATATGTACACTGCTTCTTTTATGCAATACACTAATAATAGAAGCAAAGCTAATGAAGCACATTGGAATCAACCAATAACATCGGGGGAGCTGAATGACAGAAGCAAATGCGAAACGCTAAAAGTGACAGCCAATCATGTGTGTCCGAAGAAACAGTAATGATGAAATGGGACACTGAATGAGCACGTTTTACGAACGAAGTACATCCGCTAATAAAATTAGATGGTGCGTTTAAACAAATGTCGAGAGACAAACGGTAACGAAACGGAAGCCGGTCACCAGGAACTATCACATATATATATATTCAGTAAATAAATAAATGGTTTATTCTTAACAGGTGACCTTCCTAACGTATTAAAAATAACGTGTGTACTTCTCGGGAGTGCAGAGAATCTTACTGAAATTAGAGCGGATCGTGATGTACAGTAATGACCATGTCCACGTCTTAGTAAGAAGCATCTGTGATTTTGCCAATGTAGCCCTATTGCTTACAGATTAAAGGATACGCTGTTTACGTTGGCGCAGAGTAAACTTTCCACTGGTCGTATGTTTCACGCTTGATCCAAGAAAAACTCGTCGTGCTATTCTGGATGAAAACCTGAACATTATCGAGCTCAGCTTGAGGGGAGTTTAATATCTATACAACGTAGAACGACTGTTAGGAGGATGCCTACTGGACACCTTTTTAGGACAATTCTAAGCTATATTACCCATTAAGTAGCAGGGTTTTAGTTGTATTTTTTTCTTAGTTACCGGCTTTCGTTTCGCCATCTTTTTTATTCACATTTATTTACATGCAACATTTCTTTGTTTTGATTGGATGGCTTACGTCTTTCGTAATAGATGTCATCTTATGGGCCATTTTCGTTTCCTCAAACCCGTCTGATTGGTTCTCTTTTCTATCCTTTTTCCTTCATCTCTGCTAATCAGTGTCTAGCATTATGTTGGTTGGCTCAAACAAGTTTTAGTAGCTTTGTTTCATCCACTATTGTACCCTATATAATGAAGCAGTGTTCGTGGGCATCCAATTCGATCCTGGCTCGTCTTCGCATTCACGTTGTGATTATGGGGTGCGAATAGTTGGCGGCGACACAATAACATCTGCCCTTAGGAATAAATTGGAGAGCGTACATTTGTTGTTCCTTGTCGCAGCTGATGTACAACTTTCGCCACCATGCCTCCGAGCGAAATTACCATTCGACTTTAATGTAGTCAAACCTGAGTGGAGAAATATTGGGTTGAAGGTCCAAACCTCCCAAACACTCTCCAAAGAAGATCGATGTGTTGATTCCCGGTTGTCGATACCTCCATGAATTGTCTTGAGCAACGGAATCTATCGTATGAAACTATATGCAATGTGCGCTCACCGAGCATATTAACACAGTGTTTGCAGCGATCGTAAATGGTTTACTTTGTATTTGTACGCAGTAAGCAGGAGTAGCTTACTCCTTGACCGTTAATAAGCACGGTTCAGTTCTCTCTGTGGCAAGTCGGGATCTTCCTGACTACCGCTCTTTCGCCATGGCATGCAATTGCTGGAAACTCGAAATAGACACCGGCACGAAGTCCCAGATGAAGACGAGGAATAAGCGCATTCCAATTCACTTGGATGTGAAAATAAACGCCGATCCCACCCGTGTAGCCGCAAATGAAGTACGAACTTACCAATGCACCCAATGATTGGGTTGACAATTCTATAGTTTCAGAGCTCATGTATGGGGTTATATAGGCGATCGATCGCTTTAGTAAAGCCCAAGAAGTAGGTTACGATTGCGATCCGACTATCTCGTCTAGCTAGTAAATGACGCATGTTGATGGAAGCCGTGCTGCTCCGGCCGTTGAAGTTGACACTTCTATGTGGTTCACCAATGTCTCCTTAATGACCGCTTTTAACAGTTTAGAGAGTACTTGAGAGAGGAACCCTGAGGGATTTATAGTTCAGAACGATGGCCACCTTCACAGTTGGGGCAACGATATCTTACCTTCATATGGCAGATACTCGTTGTTCGTCCATGTCCCTAGGAACGAATGTCGAGATACACTCGACTAGCTTCCTATTTAATACTCCTAGCGTTTTCGGGTGAGTGTAGTTGGCTCCGGGAAAACTGGGGTTTTGTAGGGATAGGAACTTCATCAATACAGCCACTGTGCTACAGTGCTATGGGCAAAACCTGTTCTATAAATTGCTTGATAGGTGCTACCTTGCCCTGTGTTACGCCGAGACGAAATCAGAAAAAAGGAGCGGTGTAGTAAGGCGGTTATTCACGTAAACGGCAAGTACCACCAGAAAGGGATCGCAAGGCATTACTTTGTTGGCGAGTCACATGTACGTTTCAGCAAATCACCAATCAATGCCTATGGCAGGCAGCCAATAGCCGTACACACACACGTACGCACGCACTCGGCAAATGCTTGGCACAGCCTACCACCCTGCTCAGAAAATCCTAGGCAGGTCATTTTAGTTAAAAGGGAAATCAACTTCCACCTACTTCAATACGCCTAAGATTCGGCGATTCGGTGATTAAAACCAATTTGCGCACAGATAGATTTCGTGAACATCCACGCGGTATCTTGACGAGATTGGTGGTTGTCTATTATCTGTACTCTGGTGCAACCTAGTAAAGAAAGCTTTGACGGCCATGGTCATCAAATTTTATAGTATACTGATTGTCTCTGTATGCAGGGCACTCAATTCGCGTAAGTAATATGTGTAAGCAGCTGAAGATAACGCGTGAAATACCTGAATTCTAATCATCCTGATGGAATGCGTTGATTCTGCGATTTCGAAGGCTGTGAATTAAAAATCATCACGCGATCAGCCATATTCGCTTACAGATAGTCTATAATTTTGCTGAGGCGATAATGCTAGATGTGTGTGGCTTCAAGCTTTCGGCATTGCACTGCGTTTTTCAAGTTGTCGCAAACACTACTTGTGTCGTTCCCACGCTTGCATTAATGCGGAGTGAATTTCACTGCGCAAAACATTGCACATTTGATTGAGCAGTGCTGAGTCCAAGCCCGGATGCCCGGACAATTCTTATTATGGAAGTGTAGTAGGGGGAGTTGAATGGTATAAGTAGAAATTCGTCACATCTAGACTCACTCCGACAGCCGTCACACGCCCAGAAAAGCACTGTACACGGGTTTCATCCTTTCGGGTATCGTCAGCAGTGCGCATTCCATCGGACCCTGGTAGGGCTCGAACCCGCAACTCGACTATTGCCAGTTCGTGGTTGAGACCACTGATTGGTCAAGGATATCTATTGGTTAATTAATTTGAGGTATGCCGTTAGCATGTGCCTTGTTTTATCATCGATTTTACTTAGTTTTTTTGTTCTACAAACTTTCGTACATTTGGTCCACCTGTCACGAAATCATCATGTCGGTTCCAAAGTGATGGTGCCACATATTAACATCATCGCCCACCAGACGACATGGCACGGGCTAACTGTGGTGTAGCACGATCTCGGGGCTTGGCTATACATGACCACGGAACAAGCCGAAACATGGCGCAAGCTCTCTACCATAATCGTGATCCACTCAGTTGGAAGAAAACAACGCGAACTCAGACTCACCTGCATCACACGTCGGTTCAGAGTCGCTTCGTTCTGAACACTTTTGATGTCATCCACGGCTAGGCCAATCAGTAAGTTCATGATCAGGATTGTCATCACAATCAGGAAAGTTGGGAACATGATGTATGTCACGAAGGAGAATAATATCACAGGATCAGACTGGCCAACCTGATCACCTTCAATGAATGTCTGTGAATGAATAGAGCATTGGTTGTTACACGTTAACGGAGGTGTTTGATGAGACTGTTACCTTAAAACGGAGCCAGATTTGAACACAAGTATCAACTGTTGTAGGGCAGTGCGCTTTTGCCAAGTATAGGACAGCATTTAGCATGTCAAGTAGCCCTAATAGAGATCAAATGACAGAAGTTGGTAACATCATCCGATTCACAAATTTTACGACAATCACCGCATCGCTACTTTTACCTAGCAAAAAATACGAGCCACTAACATAACGGCCTGGTCGTCACGATTCCACAGTGCAACATCATTTTTATGACACAAATGTGATCGGATGTTTCTACTAATACCAAGTGAGCTGATTACGCATACGCAAACCAAATGTTTCTAGCACGTTGGGTTTTTCTTAATTTCAATCTTTCATTTCAGCTAAGCAGTGCATTCCATGCATTAAATGCTAGCCTGTGATTGGTCCATTGACTCCCTGTAATTGTGGAAAATGAGTGATCTTGTCTATGGTATCCATCTGATTCTGAGAGTCGTTTAAGAGCTGTGTTTCCTTAATTGATATCTTGACCATGGCTGAAACATACTGCTGTGTCAATGGCCGAAATCATTTTTGTTACCTCTGTGGCCAGTTTATTAAAAGTCGTAGTGCAAACCTACTACTGAAGTCTGCCTACCACACATATTTATAGATGAAACTGGATGATAAGATTATGAAGTGGGCGCCACATATTTGTTTGGATAATTATCCACATAGGCGTGAACCGTGCGGTCAGCAAGAACAATACAGACCTCGCAAAAAGTGTACCATCGAATGAGACAGAGTGCTTGTCGCCCACGCACCCAACCCCAAGAGGAAAGATGTGATGACTGGTTTTCGGCAAAGCACTTTTACGACCCGGCGGAGAGGCGATTACACAGTCGCACAGCCTCAGATTTATTCCAAGACTGGGGACATAGTCTACGTATGCGAGTACAAGAGAAGGCGATGAGAAAGCTCCCAGTAAATCGTGCGCGCGTATGTGCCAACAGAATTCAGTGCAACGTATGAGCGCGTGAAACAAATGTAATGTAGAGTGTGGGTCCTTTTGAATGGTGAACGCACAAAGGTATGAGGGTGCGATCTCGAGCTACGCAACCTTGTGGGAGCAAGCACTTAAGATAACATCCCCTTCAAGTTTGAATATACCGTTTCTGTTGCGTCTTGATTTGCAGCGTTTTGGTTCTTGTACGAATTTATGCTGGTCGGCGGTGATGACCGATATGGTCTAGCGTTGGTTGGGCAACTTCTACAGCCTCCGGTTGTCGCGCTGTGATTAAAAACGTATCCAGTAGGCGGCTTGGCCTGGACCGCTCCACGTCGAGGTTGAAGCCGGTCTCGGTAGTGAAGACATATGTCGTATCCAACAGCGATGTCATGCAACATACTGCAACGATGTCCCTTAACTGTGGCTTCAATCCATTAGGAGTGACCATTTCAACAGTCACGAACAAAAAACAGGGGCTCCAATGTGAAAACCATTGCGACTGATGAAGGCCTTAGGTTCCACTGGTAATACTTCAACTGTGACTAGCGCTTCGTGTGTACTGTGCAAATTAGGACCCATGCTTCAAAGGGTGACTGTCCTCTAGGAGATGCTGGAATCAGTGTGGTTCCGTAGGCGAAGAGTAAAGCCTGGATACTTGCTTTTACTCTTCCCTCTCCATGAACTTTCAAGAGCTCTCTCTTGAATGTGCTGACCGTTAGACTTGGGGTAGTAAGGCAGTGATCGATGGTGTTGGATTTAATAACGGTAGCAGAACTCTTCAACTTGCGAATACGTAAACTGAGACCTGTTATCGGATAATAGGGTAACAGAAAATCCGTCTTGGTTTACGATTAGCTGAGACAAGTTACAGTTCCTGTTGTAGTCAGGGGATTCATAGCCATGACTTCAGATCACTTAGGAAAAGCGTCGACGTGGAACAGGTAGGAGATGCCATGAATTGGACCGGCGTAGTCGATGTGAATGTGAGACCAAAGCTTCTTCGCTAGTTACCATGGCACTTGTAGCCTGTGCTGTAGCACCTTGGTTGCTTGTTGACAACAACAGCAACGGCGAATTTAGTCTTCAATGTAACTGTCAATGCCGGGATAGTGAACGTAGCTGTGAGTGACGGTTTTCATTCTGCTTGTACAAGATGCGCAGAATGAAATTGGTAGAGCAGGGCTTGATAAAGGTAGGCTTAAAAGTTAACACAAAATTGACATCCATCAACGCATTCCTAACAACAAAAACCATATCTTGCGTGTACACAAACGCCCAAGGCCTTCTAAGTAAGTTGGCCGAACTTAGAGAGTGCCATATCTCACAACCCCGGGACCTCGTCATGATTACAGGGACCTGGTTAAACTTTGAGATAACCGCTTCTGAGATCAATTTACCTGGTATGTCGCTGCTTCGGAACGATAGAACCGGAAGAAGGGGCGGTGTGATTCTATATTAATGTACAAACCTCCGATGTGAAGTTACCGATCACCCGGAAATCCGAGCTCTTGATTCGTTTTGGTGCCACCTATGGTTGTGAAACAAGGACACATGTCTACTAGCCATGATTTACCGCCCACCAAACTCAACGTCGGAAATGGACTCCAAACTGAAGCACGTCTTTCAGTTTCCTTTGAACAAGTCCTACACTCACATTCTTATCGTTGGAGACTTTAATGTGCACGACATAGAAAGGCCAGAAACCGACGGTACGCAGTTTAAAACCTGCTTGCAAGAGCTAATTACTAACCACCTTCTGTACAACCACGTAACCTCTCCCACCAGATTTCGAACTGCTAGCAAGCCGTCGATACTGGATCTTGCGCTCACTAACGAAGAACTCATGGTTAACGGGATAGTTACAAGCACACCAACTACTCATGGTGATCATGTTACTCTACTCTTTGATTACATATGCCTTGCGGAGTATTCTGAAAAGGAGGATGATAAAGGGCATACTGTCACGTATTATAATGTGCTGTCTACGCTTGTTAAGGATACATATTGGACTTTCTTAACCGAATGCCCCCCAGATGTTGCCTGGGAAACCTTCACAAGGATGATTAGCACACTGGTAGCGCATGCATCGGAACAGAAGTCCTTCCAACGTAAAGACAAGCATAAGTCATTTCTGAGGAGCAAAACACGTAAATATATGTCTCGGAGGGATTTGGCATGGCGAGATCACCAGGACTGTTTGGATGCCGAAACCTGGATTGCATGCGTGACACATCGTAACTTCTGTGTGAAACTGATCCGCGAAGATAAGGTCACGCATCAGCAGGAGTTAATGAAACGATTCTGCACGAACCGCAAACTTCTATAGAGGCACCTTAGCGGCCTTCAAAAGGTGAAGCGGGGGATTCTAGCACCAGTCACGGCTGATGGGTGCACGCGATCAGCAATGGAAGCAGCTGATCTCATACGACTTCATTACTCCCAAACTTTCCAGCAGGTAACGAGCCAAAACATTCTCCTTCTTTCTATTACTCCACCGCCGGGTTTAGACATCATCACTTTCACTGCGGAAGCTGTGTTGAAGAAGTTGTCATCTTTGCGTGTCCACAGTTCTAATGGAGTTGACTGCATCCGACCAAAGGCTCTGCAGACAGTAGCTAGTGATCTAGCAAAACCACTGACTGTTTTCTATCAGCGATGTCCAGAAGAGAACCGTCTTCCACCAGTATGGAAGCAAGGGGTCATCACTCCTTTCCATAAAGGAGGTGGCTGCACTGATGCTGCCAACTACCGTCCAATAACACTACATGCCGTACTATTCAAATTGATGGAATCACTCATCGCAGATGCGCTGATGCAGTATCTGGAAAGCCACATGTTAATAGCACCAGAGCAACGTGGCTTTTGTCAAAAGCATTCATGTGATACTAAACTATTTATTGCATGTAATAGCTGGACTGAAGCTGTTTATGATGGAGTAAGAGACGATGTCATGTACCTGGACTTTTCAAAAGCGTTTGATCGCTTAGACCATCGAATTCTCCTTCAGAAGCTTCGAAATTACGGCATTGGCGACCAAATCCTGAGTTGGATTAGCAATTTGCTACAAGAACGACGGCTAGTGGTGAGAGTCCGAGAATCATTGTCTGATGCAATCAATGTGGGGTGTGGAGAACCACAAGGCTCGGTTCTTGGACCTCGTCTATTCTTGGTGTTCATTAACGATTTGGCTAGGTGACGCTTCCGATCTCCTATGTTTCACTGATTATATCAAGATATGGCGAATGGTCAGAGGACCGGACGACCACGAACGGTTCCAGTGCGATCTTAACACAGTGTCGAACTGGTCAGTTCAAATCAATGGTCAGTTCAATACAATGAATCTCACTTCAAACCAATTTCTGATGCTCTGGCCACCGCAGAGGATAATCAACGGTGCCCTATCTGCTGCATCGAGCAGGGTGGATAGGGGTTTGGATGCTACTGCTCAGGCCTTCCCATCTTCTTATTCCCCTTCTTGCGCTTTTTCACCCTTATCGTCCCGTTCCAGCTTTACTTTTATCCCCCCTGTTTTCCACCCCCCAATCCTCGGCCCTCCCCCACCTTGCTTCAATAGTCGCTTGTCTTTTAGTTTCAACTCACAGGTGAACGCAGAGCGTCATTCCTGCACTGTCAACAGGCCCATGTCCAAGCAAGCGGCCCATTCCAGTTCATCGGCTTCCATTTGGAGCCCTCGATCCTCCTTCAGACTGGCATGCCTCAATGTTCGCACATTGCTTCAGATTGGTCAACAGGCAGCACTTGCCCGAACATTAGAGACCCTCTCGATCGATATCTGCTGCTTATCGGAGACCCGCCTGCAAGACTCGAGCTCTGTACTCACTCTGCGATCCCCTTCAGGTGACACTAGCAGCACTTTCTCATTACGCCTATCCGGTGACGATGCAGCTTCGAGCACCGGCCAAGCCGGTGTTGGTATTGCCCTGAGTCCCCGGGCTGAGGCTGCTCTGGTTGATT